TTATCTTTTTATTGTCATCGTTGCTACTTCTGGTGGTATAAAAGTAATTAATGCTTATAGTGTAAACTCAACCATTTCATTGCTAATATACTGGGGACTGGTGAGAACTGAGGTCTCTATCGCCTTCCCGCAGTATCTCAGCAGTGCTCGCCTTATCCAGATATTGATATGCATGCCGTTCAATACGGAAATTCGATTGGAGGGGTGGAAAGTGAAAAGCAGAAATGAGATGTCCAGTTCTTACCCACAACAAGAATTAGTGAGATGGTGGCTATACAAAGTTGTGATTTTCCTTTGATTTTTATCTCAGCTTATAAAATGCTGGCTTGAGTTTCGTTTCAGAGTTTGGGGGCAGTCTTTTTCATAGCTGGTTAAAGGGCCAAGGTTGTTTTTCCCCAGTGAAAGAGATTAGTCTTATGGCAAGTTGTTACAAGGTTAGTCACTCAAGCATATAGACATGGAGACCAGTAATTGTCCCCTGTCCCTGCTGGCATGGATCACTACAAGTACAGAAAAAATTCAGGTCACTGGCCAGGTCTTTCATTTCAGAAGTAAAAGGGAGAAGCAATAAAGCTCAAACTTGGTACTGCAGGTTCTCTTACAAGATGATGTATATAGATGAGCATAAATATAAAACTATAGACCCATGTGTAATTACCACTCAAAGAATTCTGATAAAATTTATATTCTTGGGGCTTCCCTGGTGGCGCAGTGGTTCAGAGTCCGCCTGCCGATGAAGGGGACACGGGTTCATGCCCCGGTCCGGGAAGATCTCACATGCTGCGGAGCGGCTGGGCCCGTGAGCCATGGCTGCTGAGCCTGCGCGTCTGGAGCCTGTGCTCCACAACGGGAGAGGCCACAACAGTGAGAGGCCCGCGTACCGCAAAAAAAAAAACAACAGACTCCAGGCTGGTCATTTGCTCCAAGAAATCCAGTATCTCTATGTTATCTCTCTCCCCATTCTAGAATTGGGATCCCTCTTTTTTCTCCATCCTTTCATTACTGTTTAGTATATGAAACCCATTGTTTATATTCTAGGTCATACATCTGGTAGGGTGTATGCCAAAATAATATGATTTTTTTTTTTTTTTTTTACTTTGTAACAAGTAATTTTTTTCTGATTTTAATGGATTTAGGGATTTTGTAGACAATGCACTGAGACACGTGACACAAAAAAATCCCTCCTCGCTTACTTTGCTTATCGCCATGGGGTGGATGGCAAATGCTATGTGGGCTTGTTATTCGAAGTTTAGTTTTAGTGTCGTTTCAAATCTCCCTAGATTACATTTTATAATTAATTTCTGTTTCAATTGAAGTCTCCATATTTGAGGGGAGGGGAGCTCTGGAAAGCTTTTGCTCTACGAAGGTCTGTGACCTACACAAACATTTCTTGCCAACTGTGCTCTGAAATCTGGATGTTTCGTAGTTAACAACCACGACAAGGATGTTATTCTCTCTTGTACTACCTCTCTGCCTTGGGAAGCAAGCTGAAGAGAGTAACCTAAATTACAATCAGTCACAGGAAGTATTATTGGAATATTTTTAAGTGTTTATTGGATGTGGCATTTGTTATTGGCCCCTGTGTTCAACCGAGGACAAATTGCCAGGTCTCTTGGAGAACGACAGACAGACAGATACACAGAGGGAATACGATACTGAGAAAATCTCATTGATTTTTATATTTAGTCAGGTCAGGAGTTATGCTTAGATCCTTTATTTCAATTGGTAGGTTTTGTTTTGTTTTGTTTTGTTTTGACAGGGATAACTTTTCAAATTAAATCCCTTTATTGAATTTTCACTCTTGGATAGTTTCTGAAGATGCTGTCTTTGCAGAAAAGTAAAATAAAATAAATAAAATTAGAACGGATATATTTCATGCCTTGTGAAAGCTGAGCCTGAGATGACAGTTTGGCATTATCAACCTCCGTGCCTGCAGGGAGCACAGGAATAATGTTGGGTGAAAGAAAACGTGCCGATCAGGGAAAGCGACAGCCGTGTTGTTTTCAGGATACAGGGTTATGTGCATTAAATGCCACAAGCCAGAAAGCAGCATTATCCCCCGAAGCTTGAAAATAAAATCAACCTGGGATGCTACCAATTCCATCCAGAGCTTTCTAAACAAGGGGTGTAGTCATGGGAGACAGACCCTAAAGCTCTTTCATTAGTCTTTCGTTGTGGGACTTTGTTACTATAAGTGTGTCCCACAGACCAGAGGCATCGGCTTCACCTGCAGACTCTTGGGCCCTTACTGAATCAGGATCCACATTTTAACAAGATCCCTGGGTGGGTCGTACGCATGTTCAAGTTTGAGATGCAATGCTGTAAATTTATCAGACAACCTGGTAAGTGAGGTTAGGTAGCCAGCTGGTAATCCTGACAATTGGTCAACTCTGTGTTCATTCATTCAATACATATTTATTAAGCCCCACCTACATGTAGACACTGTAGAATGTGCTGGAGATGCAATACTGAGCAAAGGTATACTTGGCTCCTGCACACATAGAACTTAATAGGCTGGTGGAGAGGAAAACCTGTGATCAAATGGAATGTGTAATTTCAAACTAAGATGAATACAATAAAGAAAAATAATAGAGTTGGATGAAAGCAAACAAAATAAACTGGTTTAGATGAGGACTTCAAGAAAGACTTCCTTAAGAAATGGATGCTCTCCCTGGATTTGATACAATTCTACGGTTATTTTGGATGTTATCATTGGGGGAAGCTGGGTGAAGGGTTCAGGGGAACTCCATACTATTATTTTGCAACTTCTTTGTGAGCCTAAAATTATTTCAAAAAGTTAAAAAAATTAGAAATGATGCTTAATCTTAATCTGAACCATCTTCAGTAATACATTACACTGAATTGGTCAGGGAAGGGGGAACAAAGAAAGGTATTCCAAGCAGAGGAAAGAGTAGGTATTAGAGTCTTGTTATGGAGACATAGAACTTTGTAGTTTCTAAGAATTGAAAGCAAACCCAAAGGCCTGCAGGTGATGACCGAGGAGGGCACAGAGTGAGATGAGGCTGAGGAAATGGGCAGGCGGGAGATTATGCTGCAGCTACAGGTAAAGGTGAGAACTGTGTTCTTTATTACTAGAGCAATGGGAACTAAAACAAAGCTCTAAACAGACGGCATGGCAACTTTTGACTTAAGACAGCTCTGGCTACTGGGTACTGAGAACTGAACCATGGAATCCAAGATAACATTATCAGCTCTGGTCACCACCAGAGAGAGCCCACTTTATAAAGAAGTGGGGGGCTTCCCTGGTGATGCAGTGGTTGAGGGTCCGCCTGCCGATGCAGGGGACGCGAGTTCGTGCCCCGGTCCAGGAGGATCCCACGTGCCGCGGAGCGGCTGGGCCTGCGAGCCATGGACGCTGAGCCTGCGCGTCCAGAGCCTGTGCTCCACAGCGGAAGAGGCCACAGCAGTGAGAGGCCCGCGTACCGCAAACAAACAAACAAACAAACAAACAAACAAAAGAGGTGGGAAAGCAGCTCTAAACTGTTGAGATTATTCTGTCAGGTACAATCTGGGCACATTACATATCAGAGCTCTGCCTGAGTTTATAAAGGAGAAAGGAGATGGTCAGCTTGGACCCTGATCTATTCCCACACTGATTCTGCCAAAGAATATATTCATTCCCCAAAGGGGGAAAGAAACCTCTGGAGATAAAAATATCTCCCTGTGAGCACATAGTAATGGAGTAGGTGTGGTTTCTGGAGAGTCTGGATGGCAGGGGTGACCAGCTTCTTTGAGCTGTGAGCTGGTAAACCATGGGTATCATTTGCCTTTGCATCAGAAAAGTGGAGGGCAAGCAGACAGGCTCAGTGTCAGTGATGATGAAGTGTGTGAATTGTGAGGGATATTTTTAAAACAGAGAAGGTCTCAAAAATTAGATTATCACCCTCTGGCTCAGTGCTGAACAACTTCGACCAGCCTCTTGGCACTGTGGTAACTGGAAAGTCCGTTCTCTTCCTTTTCTCTGCACTTGAGACCTCTTTCTTTTCACCTGGGTTTTCTCCCCTCATCTATTTTCCTTCTATGCATTTCCCCCTTTTCTCTTTTTCCTTTTTCCCTTTCACCTGTAGTTCCCTAGTAGTACCCCCTGAAATGCTTAGTCCTCCTGAAGAACCTCAGGAACAAAGAAGGGGAAGGAAATCCATGTTGTTGTCGTTTAAATATATTACTTAAACTTTCTATGCCTTGGTTTCTTCATCTGTAAAATGGGAACCACCACTTATGAACTGTAGTGAAAATTAATTGTGATAAAGTATAGAAAGCCCTTAGCATGATTCTGGGTACAGGGCAAGTGCTTAGTAAATATTAGCTACTATAGGAATCGTTATTATTAACTTATTTAACTTACAGTGAAGAAATGGAGGCATAAAGAGTTGAAGTAACTTTTTCAAGGTCACACAGTGAGTGAGTGAACTTGTGAGTCATGCACACATGGCTTTGGATTGTGGACCTTCAGCTTTGCTCTCCATCGTGTGCTAAAGCCAAAACGTCCATAGGAAACACAATCTTTCACTGTAGCCAACCTAACTAGGGATGTTCAGAACCACCAACTGACTTTTGCCTCCTGCCGCTTACGATGGGGGACAGACAGGATGATGCTCTTCTACAAGCCCTTTCCAAGTGTTCTGTCAATCTCCCACTAGACAGTGAGGCATTGCCTGGATGATATCTGATAAAATAAGGAAACTGGCAAAACAAATCAAAAGAGCAGCAATAATGCAATAATAACAAGTGTTTACTTAAAAAATAAGAAATTTTGGAATTTTATCATCTCCTGCAAAGAAAAACCCCTTGATTGGATGAGAGTTGTAGAGAATTATTAAGACAACTCTAGGTAACTAAGGCCAAAAAAAAAGTCCTCAGGTCCAAACAACTCAGATTATTGATTATCGCCACTGTGATTTCCCTTAACACAGATGCGATTCATGGCAGATCGATAAAATTAATTACTATTAACTTTGTGGAAAAGTTGCTTTACTTACGACCATCCACAGTTCTGGCCTCAAGATGCACAAGATCTGGTTCCTTGTTCGACCCCATCACAGACCTAAATGATGGAGAAACATCAACATTAATGAATTTCCATGTGCCTCAGGGAAACTCAGCTGAGCCCATAAACTACTAATGTTCACGGGATTCTAAAGCCACAATCCTTAGGATACATCTACTGTATTTATTGATGTAGCCTGACAGTACAATTTTCACTTCAAATAAAACCTATAAAAAATCCTTTATTTGATGAAGGCCAGGCTTGACTGTGGCAAGGATACTGTGTGTTATTAACTCCAACTTGCAAATGAGTCCCATGCATGTCATATGTAACAGTCTCACGGACAGTATATTAAACTTTCAAGAGTTGTCAGGCAGATGACAGGCAAGCTGCTTTACCTGGGTGACTTGAGCAGTGATTTACACACAGCAAACTGATCTAGTTAATGTTTTCATTTGAAATTTGCAGAACTACCTACTACTATCCTATGAACAGACCACATGACCCAACCAACGCAGTGGCCAGAACAGCCTAGAGTGACCATTCTCTGTATTGTTGAACCTGTGTGAGTGGGAAACACAGATGCACCCATATTATGATATGTGCCAGAAATCACAAGTGTAAGTAAAATACAAGTCTATTTAAAATGCCTTGGAGGGCTTTCCTGGTGGCGCAGTGGTTGAGAGTCCGCCTGCCGATGCAGGGGACACAGGTTCGTGCCCCGGTCCGGGAAGATCCCGCATGCCGCGGAGTGGCTGGGCCCGTGAGCCATGGCCGCTGAGCCTGCGCTTCCGGAGCCTGTGTTCCGCAAAGGGAGAGGCCACAACAGTGAGAGGCCCGCGTATCGCAAAAATAAATAAATAAATAAATAAACAAACAAATAAAATGCCTTGGAGAGGACCCTCAAGATGGCGGAGGAGTAAGACGTGGAGATCACCTTCCTCCCTACAAATACATCAGAAATACATCTACATGTGGAACAACTCCTACAGAACGCCTACTGAACGCTGGCAGAAGACCTCAGACTTCCCCAAAGGCAAGAAACTCCCCATGTACCTGGTAGGGTAAAAGAAAAAAAGAATAAACAGAGACAAAAGAATAGGGATGGCACCTGCACCAGGGGGAGGAAGCTGTGAAGGAGGAAAGGTTTCCACACACTGGGAAGCCCCTTCGCGGACGGAGACTGCAGGTGGCAGAGGGGGGAAGCTTCGGAGCCATGGAGGAGAGCGCAGCAACAGGGGTACGGAGGGCAAAGTGGAGAGCTTCCCGCAAAGAGGATCGGTGCCGACCAGCACTCACAAGCCCTAGAGGCTTGTCTGCTCACCCTCTGGGGCGGGTGGAGGCTGGGAGCTGAGGCTCGGGCTTCGGTCGGAGCACCAGGAGAGGACTGGGGTTGGCGGCGTGAACACAGCCTGCAGGGGGTTAGTGTGCCACGGCTAGCCGGGAAGGAGTCCGGGGAAAAGTCTGGACCTGCCTAAGAGGCAAGAGACTTTTTCTTCCCTCTTTGTTTCCTGGTGCTCGAGGAGAGGGGATTAAGAGCGCTGCTTAAAGGAGCTCCAGAGACGGGCGCGAGCTGCGGCTAAAAGCGCGGACCCCAGAGACGGGCATGAGACGCTAAGGCTGCTGCTGCCACCACCAAGAAGCCTGTGTGCGAGCACAGGTCACTATCCACAGCCCCCTTCCGGGGAGCCTGTGCAGCCTGCCACCGCCAAGGTCCCGGGATCCAGGGACAACTCCCCCAGGAGAACGCACAGCATGCCTCAGGCTGGTGCAACGTCACGCCGCCTCTGATGCCGCAGGCCAGCCCCGCACTCCGTGCCCCTCTCTCCCCCCCAGCCTGGGTGAGCCAGAGCCCCCGAATCAGCGGCTACTTTAACCCCGTTCTGTCTGAGCGAGAACAGATGCCCTCCGGCGACCTACACGCAGAGGCGGGGCCAAATCCAAAGCTGAGCCCCTGGGAGCTGTGAGAACAAAGAAGAGAAAGGGAAATCTCTCCCAGCAGCCTCAGAAGCAGCGAATTAAAGCTCCACAATCAACTCGATGTACCCTGCATCTGTGGAATACCTGAATAGACAACGAGTCATCTCAAATTGAGGAGGTGGACTTTGAGAGCAAGATTTATTATTTTTCCCCCTTTTCCTCTTTTTGTGAGTGTGTATGTATATGCTTCTGTGTGAGATTTTGTCTGTATAGCTTTGCTTCCACCCTTTGTCCTAGGGTTCTATCCGTCTGTTTTGGGTTTTTTTTAATATTTTTTCTTAATTATTTTTTTATTTTAATAACTTTATTATATTTTATCTTACTTTATTTTATTTTAATTTATCTTCTTTCTTTCTTTCCTTCCTTCCCTCCTTCCTTCCTTCCTCCCTCCCTCCCTCCTTTCTTTCTTTCTTTCTACTTGTACTAATTCTTTCTTTCTACTTTTTCTCCCTTTTATTCTGAGCCGTGTGGATGAAAGGCTCTTGGTGCTGCAGCCAGGAGTCAGGGCTGTGCCTCTGAGGTGGGAGAGCCAACTTCAGGACACTGGTCCACAAGAGACCTCCCAGCTCCACATAATATCAAATGCCGAAAATCTCCCAGAGATTATCTCAACACAAGCACCCAGCTTCACCCAACGACCAGCAAGCTACAGTGCTGGACACCCTATGCCAAACAACCAGCAAGACAGGAACACAACCCCACCCATTAGCAGAGAGGCTGCCTAAAATCATAATCCACAGACACCCCAAAACACACCACCAGACGTGGACCTGCCCACCAAAAAGACAAGATCCAGCCTCATCCACCAGAACACAGGCACTAGTCCCCTCCACCAGGAAGCCTACACAACCCACTGAACCAACCTTAGCCACTGGGGACAGACACCAAAAACAACGGGAACTACGAACCTGCAGCCTGCAAAAAGGAGACCCCAAACACAGTAAGATAAGCAAAATGAGAAGACAGAAAAACACACAGCAGATGAAGGAGCAAGATAAAAACCCACCAGACCTAACAAATGAAGAGCAAATAGGCAGTCTACCTGAAAAAGAATTCAGAGTAATGATAGTAAAGATGATCCAAAATCTTGGAAATAGAATGGACAAAATGCAAGAAACATTTAACAAGGACCTAGAAGAACTAAAGATGAAACAAACAACGATGAACAACACAATAAATGAAATTAAAAATACTCTAGATGGAATCAATAGCAGAATAACTGCAGCAGAAGAACGGATAAGTGACCTGGAAGATAAAATAGTGGAAATAACCACTGCAGAGCAGAATAAAGAAAAAAGAATGAAAAGAACTGAGGACAGTCTCAGAGACATATGGGACAACATTAAATGACCCAACATTCGAATTATAGGGGTTCCAGAAAAAGAAGAGAAAAAGAAAGGGAGTGAGAAAATATTTGAAGAGATTTTAGTTGAAAACTTCCCTAATATGGGAAAGGAAATAGTTAATCAAGTCAAGGAAGCACAGAGAGTCCCATACAGGATAAATCCAAGGAGAAATACGCCAGGACGCATATTAATCAAACTGTCAAAAAATTAAATACAAAGAAAACATATTAAAAGCAGCAAGGGAAAAACAACAAATAACACACAAGGGAATCCCCATAAGATTAACAGCTGATCTTTCAGCAGAAACTCTGCAAGCCAGAAGGGACTGGCAGGACATATTTAAAGTGATGAAGGAGAAAAACCTGCAACCAAGATTACTCTACCCAGCCAGGATCTCATTCAGATTTGATGGAGAAATTAAAACCTTTACAGACAAGCAAAAGCTGAGAGAGTTCAGCACCACCAAACCAGCTTTACAACAACTGGTAAAGGAACTTCTCTAGGCAAGAAACACAAGAGAAGGAAAAGACCTACAATAACGAACCCAAAACAATTAACACAACGGGAATAGGAACATACATATTGATAATTAGCTTAAATGTAAATGGACTAAATGCTCCCACCAAAAGACACAGATTGGCTGAAGGGATACAAAAACAAGACCCATATATTTGCTGTCTACAAGAGACCCACTTCAGACCTAGAGACACATACAGACTGAAAGTAAGGGGATGGAAAAAGATATTTCATGCAAATGGAAACCAAAAGAAAGCTGGAGTAGCAATTCTCATATCAGACAAAATAGACTTTAAAATAAAGACTATTAGAAGAGACAAAGAAGGACACTGCATAAAGAACAAGGGATCGATCAAAGAAGAAGATATAAAAATTGTAAATATTTATGCACCCAACATAAGAGCACCTCAATACATAAGGCAAATACTAACAGCCGTAAAAGGGGAAATCGACAATAACATATTCATAGTAGAGGACTTTAACACTCCACTTTCAGCAATGGACAGATCATCCAAAATGAAAATAAATAAGGAAACACAAGCTTTAAATGATACATTAAACGAGATGCACTTAATTGACATTTATAGGACATTCCATGCCAAAACAACAGAATACACATTTTTCTCAAGTGCTCATGGAACATTCTCCAGGATAGATCATATCTTGGGTCACAAGTCAAGCCTTGGTAAATTTAAGAAAATTAAAATTGTTTCAAGTATCTTTTCCGACCACAACACTATGAGACTAGATATCAATTACAGTAAAAGATCTGTAAAATATACAAACACATGGAGGCTAAACCATACACTACTTAATAACGAAGTGATCACTGAAGAAATCAAAGAGGAAACAAAAGAATACCTAGAAACAAATGACAATGAAAACACGATGACCCAAAACCTATGGGATACAGCAGCAGCAGTTGTTCTCAGAGGGAAGTTTATAGCAATACAATCCTACCTCAAGAAACAAGAAACATCTCAAATAAACAACCTAACCTTACACATAAAGCAATTAGAGAAAGAAGAACAAAAAAAACCCAAAGTTAGCAGAAGGAAAGAAATCATAAAGATCAGATCAGAAATAAATGAAAAAGAAATGAAAGAAACAATAGCAAAGATCAATAAAACTAAAATTGGGTTCTTTGAGAAGATAAACAAGATTGATAAACAATTAGCCACATTCATCAAGAAAAAAGGGAGAAGACGCAAATCA